ATATATCCGCATTACAACAACATAGTGGGTGACATGAAACTTGATATAAATACAAATGGCAAAATCTTGTGTTTGTCAAATTGAAAATCAACCTATACTTGCATGTCATTTATGTCTATCATTATGCAAAAATATGATGTTAAAATAATATGACAAAATACTATGTTAAATTTCCAATGTTCTTTTATCATACCTGAATCAGTTAGAGCTAAAATGGTGATCATCTTGTCGAAACATATTATTTTCAGACAATGATACCAGTAACTTCAGTAAAATCAAATAATTCATTGTACAATACTCAGTTTTGCAACTCAAAACATATTGGGTCTCAAATAAAATTGTATCCGACGACCCTCTAAATGTTTTCTACATCTACATTACCGAGCTATTAGCCAACACGTTTATGTTCGACTCCTGAAATGTATTTGCCTTGTTTGATTACTTCAAATATTTGAACTTAGAATGACTAATTGAGCTTATTATTAAACTCATCAAATCATGTGTTTTGGTAAACTACTTGTTTTTTAAATGAAACAGATGAGCAGCACTTGTTCGCGAACAACTCTCTTAGATATTAGGTTAATTAAACGAATCAAGTTAAGTCGAATCAAACTTTCAGGAATTTAAAACGAGTCAAGCCGGTTTCTTTATTAGAACTACTTGCTTTTCTTTTAAATGAAATAAACAAACATAACTTATCTCATTGGATATTAAGTTTATTCTAACAAATCAAGGTAAGTCAAACTAAGTAATAGTGTTATGTATTTTCATTACTGTGTAATATTAGTATTTGATGTAAAGTTGTTATGTACAACTATAGGTATTGTGTAATTTTACTAAATGGTCCTTGTGTAACCCTAACTATAAAACCTCTTTTCTTTGTTGTAATTTTTCACTTTTGCCGTTTTCCCTTTTCTCCTCTTTCTCTGAATACAATCGGTCGTTCTTCTTCATTGTTCTCTTCCCTCTGTACAAAATCATGTTGACATTGTTGATCTGATATGGTATCAGTCGCGTTCGATCTATCATTTCCCAGCTTCCGCACATACTTCTTTCTCGATTTTTGATCGTTTGAATCTCTACCTCCGAGATTTCTTCGATTCTCTGATTTTTTTTTAGGGTTTCCATACCCGATATTCGTTTTTGGATCTACATCTCTTAGATCTACATATTTCTCGCCTGATATTATTTGCTTTCATCTGCTCCTATTTGATTTGCCATGGCGGCCACTCAAAATCCGAATGATGATCCGTCGAGTCCATATTATTTGCACGCGAGTGACAATCCAGGAGCGCTCATCATTGCCGAGCTTCTCAACGGCGAGAACTACGTCAGCTGGTCCCGCGCTGTTGTCATGGCTCTTAGCGTGAAAAATAAGGGCGGCTTCATCGATGGTACTCTGCTATCTCCCTCTCCTACTGTAGATTCTCGGTTATATGTTGCTTGGGTGAGAGCTAATAACCTCGTTCTGTCCTGGTTAATGAATTCTATTTCAAAAGACATCAGACAGTCATTGTTATTTTTTAATTCCGCCAAAGATGTTTGGGATGAGTTGAAAAATAGGTATGCTGTGAGTAGTGGACCACGAGTGTTTCAATTGGAAAAATCTTTAAGTACAATGACTCAAGGTTCTTTATCTGTTACTCAGTATTACAACGCTTTTAAAGGTCTATGGGATGAGTATGTTACTTTTAGGCCTATTATCAGATGTCATTGTGGAGTTTTTGCCAATTGCACTTGTAATATCTTTGATCTCATGGCTGAATCTCAGCAAAATGATTGTGTGATGAAGTTTTTGATTGGGCTGAATGACTCTTTTGCCTCTCTTAGAAGCCACTTCCTATTGACCTCACCACTGCCTTCCCTCTCCAAAATATACTCCCTTCTACTTCAGGAAGAATCTCAGAGGTCACTAAATAACTCTTTTCAACCAATTGATCCCATGGCAATGCTTGCCAAATCTGCTACTTCTCACTACAATCCATCTAATAACCCTTCTAAGCCACCCTATCCTAAAGACAAAAAGCCTCGGCCAAAATGTTCCCATTGTGGATATCCACATCCTTCTGACAAATGCTACCAAGTATATGGTTATCCTCCTAATTGGACTGGACCCAAAGGCCCTAGGATACATCCTAAACATTCAGCTAATCTGACTCATTCTACAATCATTGCTGACTCAAATTTACCATCTGTGGATGCATCTTCCATGACTAATGAGCTGTTTCATGAGTTTTTAGTTTTTAAAAAGAATCAGGAAGCAAAATCTGTCACAGAATCACATCCTAGTTCAAATCCAATGGTTGCAACTGCTATTCACAATGCCTCAGGTATCCCTGACTCCTTTGCATGTACTGTGTCTAGAAATTTATCTAAAAATACTTGGATCTTAGACACTGGTGCAACAGATCATATGGTTTGTGATGCTAATTTCTTTACACATTTGAAACATATTGACAATATCAAGATCAATTTACCTAATGGCAACATCACTAATGCTTGTGCAATAGGACAAATCAATCTATCTTCTGATTTAACCTTGCATGATGCTTTGTATGTTCCACAATTTTCTTTCAACTTGATATCTGTCTCTAAATTAGTATCCACCACAAACTGTATGATTCAATTTTTGTCATCACACTGCATTCTACAGGATTTGACTACTCTCAAAATGATTGGTTCTGCTGACCTCACAGATGGACTCTACCATCTTGTTTTCCCTGATTCTAACAATAAAACATGTTTTTCTGTAACTTCTGATACTCCATGTTCTTTACCTGTAAACTCTCATTTACCTGTAAAGACTGTCAATATGAACAATGTTTTGTGGCATCACAGACTGGGACATCTATCCTACTCCAGAATGTTACATTTACCAATGTGTGATTCATCTTGCAAATCAATGCATTTTGCACCATGTGATATTTGCCATTTTGCTAAACAAAAGAGACTACCATTTCATATCAGTGATTCCAAATCATCATGCATTTTTGAACTTATCCATTGTGATGTTTGGGGGCCCTTCTCTGTTGTGTCTCATGAGGGTTATAGATATTTTCTTACTATAGTGGATGATTTCAGCAGAACCACTTGGATATATCCTCTTAAACACAAGTCAGATACCAGAGTCAGTCTAATTAATTTTTTTAACATGGTTAAGACTCAGTTTCAAAAGCATATACAATTTATTAGAACTGACAATGGATCTGAATTTTTTCTAAAAGACTTTTATCATGATCATGGCATTATTCATCAAACTAGTTGTGTTGAGACACCACAACAAAATGCAAGGGTAGAAAGAAAGCATCAACATCTATTGCAAGTAGCAAGAGCTATTATGTTTCATGCTCATTTACCATTAATTTTTTGGATAGATTGCATATCTGCTGCTGCACATATTATCAACAGAGTTCCTACA